GTGATAATAAAATGTCATAACATATCAATAGTCAAACAAAAGGTCTTTTAGGATGAAAGTCATGACACAATTTTCATTTCAGGAGCTTTACTCTCAATCCTACAATGAAGTGGGTGTCATGTTTGCCTCCATCGCTGGGTTCAATGAGTACTTTGAGCAGAAAGAGATCAAACATGAGGGAGTGGACTGCCTCCGACTCCTGAATGAGATCATTGCTAGCTTTGATGAGGTAAGAATGGGACTGAAATGAAAGTGCACCCTATAGAGTGGATTCAGATCATTGTATGACTCTATGTATGATGTATAAAAGCCAAAATACTCCATCTATGGCATTGTTTTAAAGGCAAATGTTAATTATGCAAAGTAGTATAGTAGATAATACATTATATTTTTGAACTATATAAATTAGAGCAATAAAAACATTAACTGCAATTCAAATTTCAAATATTTGTATTAATTTAGTATTTCCTTACCTGACTTCTAAGGTGAAATAATATAAAGAATATAATTAACATTCAATAATAATACTAATATTAATTATAACATAGATAACGGGCTATATTTCAGGCCGAGCTATTGAAAAATGTTGTCATAACTCTATTTGTCAGATTGAAGTTTAATTTGTTTTCTGTTTCTTTTAATATTATTTAACAAGCTGTTGGAGGAGTCTTACTTCCACTATGTGGAGAAGATTAAGACGATTGGGAGTTGCTACATGGCGGCCTCAGGCTTGGCTCCAGACAGAGAGGTGGGACATGTTTTTCCACACATTGTGCTATCTTTTGTTTTACCCTTCCAATATCCTCATCCTCCTTTCTCTCTCTCGCTCTCTCTCTCTCTCTCTCTCTCTCTCTCTCTCTCTCTCTCTCTCTCTCTCTATAAAACTGTCTCTGCGTCTCTCTCAGGAATCTATGGATGAATGGAATCACCTGAGTGAGCTGGTTTTGTTTGCGTTGGCAATGCGAGAGACCTTGATAGACATTAACACGCAAACTTCCAAAAACTTTAAGCTGCGTGTTGGTAAGTGTCTCACCTCCTACAAACAATAGATGGTTGATACAAAATTTTCTATGTAGGGATTTTTGGTGTTGGATGTATGACTGATTTGTCTAAAGCGAATGATGTGTCTGTGTTTCATTTAATCAGGCATTGCCCACGGGCCGGTGGTGGCAGGAGTGATCGGTGCCACTAAGCCGCAGTACGACATCTGGGGGTCCACAGTGAACCTGGCCAGCCGCATGGACAGCACGGGGGTGAGCGGGCGCATCCAGGTTCCCGAGGCCACGCGCAGGATCCTGGCAGAATGGGGTTTCATCTTGGAGCTACGTGGAGAAATCTTCGTCAAGGGGGTGAGTGGCTGTCCATATAGATTTTAACTTTTAATTGAAAGCAGAATTCAAAACAATTTAAGAAATAAAAGTTTAGCCCATAGGACAAATTAAACAAGAGGGACATCTACTGGTGAAAAGTAACAACTCTATTTCTTGAGTTACATTCTTGTTCAGGAAGGGACACTTGTGTATGAAATGTGTAATCAAATCAAGTTTTATTTATATAGCACATTTTAAAAACGACTTTTGGTCGAGCCAAAGTGTACATGCGATAAAAACACTTTACTGCGATAGCAAACAGAAGACAATAAATTACAACAGCAAATATAAAATTCAAACACAGGGAAATGTCAGGAGGCGTGCCCCGCTCTGACTAGAAGGCCAGGGAGAAGAAGTGAGTTTTTAGTGTCGATTTAAAAAACCCTAGGGTCTCTGGGCCGACCTCACATGGAGGGGCAGAGTGTAGTTTTTAAAGGTCACCTATTATGGAAAATCCAATTTTTCATGTCTTTTATACATAAACATGTGTAAAGAGATTCTGAAAGTTTCAGGAAAAAAGAGCCGCTCACTTTTTGTCCTGTTCCATTTATATTTAAAAACCTGTCTGAAAATGAGCTGATCAAATTTTGGCCACTTTATGATGTCATAACGATTTTTTGGCTTGTGTAACCATTAACCAATAACCAACCAAGGTAACTCCCCCCCCTCCACCTTATCACCTGAATCTCCTCCTAGAGCACCATTGTGTTCTTTTTAACCAAATATCTCTCAGAGGGGCGTGGGGAGGGGCTCCTTGTTTTCATCTAAAGTAACAGACAGAGAATCAGCACTTTTGAAACAGGGCTGAAACAGAGGGGTTTATGGGATGCTAAAATGCATGACCTGTCTGGTATTTAGAGCCAAACACTTCAGAGACATGTTTTGTATATATCTGAGACCTATAATGTGTTGATGAAAAACAGTATAATAGGGGACCTTTAATGCATCCTATCCAGTTTGTGGAGAGGTCTTTTCAAAATAATCTTGAGGGTCATTGAGAAATAATGATGTGACCGCTGCTCTCATTGCAGGTGAGCGAGCGTCAGGGGAAAGTCCGCACCTACTTCATCAGCACTTCGCGCAGCAAGAGGTCCAATATGGGCACAGATCGCCAGGGGTCGCGGACAGGGGGCCGCATGACGCTGGCAGCAGTGGTGTTTGGTCTTGTCCAGGCCAGACACAAGGAGAATATAAGAGAGACCAATGGGGGGTTCAGTCGCTCTGGTTGCTGAATTAAACAATGAAAGGACTTATAGATTCACATGACTGTATGTGGGGAAGGACATGGCCTGGCCATATTGTTTCTTTAATGGTTTACAGTTTTGTTGTGTGTGTCTCATACTTTGCCATAACAAAATTAGCTGCACAAACAGGATCCGAATCCTACCAGAGCCTTTCTTCCTGCAGACTGTGTCCTCCTCTGCAATATCTTGGGCTCTATTGTTCATACATGGGCAGATTTCAGTTCAGAAGTCCAGCTTCGATCTTTAACTGAAGAATAGATCCATGTGTCCATGAACTTTGCTTAGAGAGGACCTAACGTCATACTGGGTTCTTTTACAGTCTTAATAAGCATCTTGAGGGTTCTGCTTTCTCTTTTGCAATGCCATATCTAAGCTTTATAAGGAGTATTAAGCATATCACTTTCATTTTGTGCAACACTAACAAAGGCCAACATGTCTTTTTATTTATTAAATGTTTTTACTGGGATAAGACTCCAGAAATACCTCAGACCTTTAAGCCAAAATACCAGATACCTCTCACAGACCTCTTCAATGGCCTACACAATGCTGACTAGTGTTTACTGTTTTATTCTGCATCTTTCTTAAAACATTTTTCCTGTATATGTTGTTATGTCTAACTCTAATAATCATGATGTTATGTTATATTGTAGATCTAATGCATATTGTCACTGTCACATAAAAAACACCTTACTATTGCTAATTATGATGTGTTTTTCTGTTGACTGAAGGATAATATTGGCATATGGGACTTCCTAAGGAATTTGACATGTGATCTGGTAAATAAAATTGCTCCAAAATAAGAAAACATGAATGAATAGCATTTATATGAACACAAAAAGTGTATACATTTAAATTAATATTAATTAATCCATAATCCAATTGTTTATACATCAGATTAAAATGTTTTAACACATGAATGAACATTTAAAATGAGGCTGTGTATTACAAACATTTGGCATTTTGCAAATGTAACATGTAACAGCTAAATGGTAACATTGACAGATTCACCTTTCCATAGATATTATGTTTATTTTTTCATATATTTTCCAAAAATAAATAAATGTGTACATGTTCTGCTAATAAAACCTGTACAAAAACCGATGGTCCTCTTTAATTTCAATTGTGCATATGATTTATTCTGATAGAATCATCCCCAAAGATGTGATCCATTTTCAAACCAAAGTCTCAAGGGGTCTGTCAGATAACAAAACTACCATTGTCGGTTCTATTAAACACAATGGAAGTGTTGTCCCAGTCTGAACCATACATCCATGGTCTGAACTGAAGGGAACCATAGACTGTATATAAAGGTCTGAACCATGGTCTGAACGTCTGAACACAGCCTCTCGCCTTCCTTGCTGGACGATTTCTCCTCACTCAATTATTTCTGGCTGCTAATCGCGCGGGTATTCTCCAGCCGACTCTTTGTTCGTCTATTGCGAAAGATGCATCACTCGGTGTTTGGAAAAAGTGGGTCCGTCTTTAATTAAGAGACAGATATAGCATAAAAAACATGATTATTGGTCACAAATACTTCTTTAAGGGCAACTAGAAGTCAAATCTCAAGTCCAAATACTTTCCAATCTTCAAGATCTCTGATTGGCCGAACAAATGGTTTTAAAGTTGTTTTACTGTTGCTTTTGAAACAACAAAGACATAATGTGTTACAGTATATTTGTCATTTGTAAATATTGTAAATACTAAAGCAAATTCGTCGTATGTGTAAACCTACTGACCTAATAAAACCAATTCTGATTCTGATTCTGAAATGTTACAATGTAGGTCTGTCTATTGCTATCTTATTAAGGAATTGTATAGCGAGTCCAAATCTGTATAAACCCAGTTTCAAGTCAGCGTGAAGAGCACTTTTTCAATACCATTGCCATTATAACATTCACTATCATGTGCAATGTTAAGTTTCTATTTTAGTTTAATATTTTTTTTCTAAATGTAGACGATCTTACTTCTGTTGTTATTCTATTTTTGCACTTGGGTTAATTAGTGTATTGGTATTACTATTCACTTTTGTCGCTATTTTTTACTTTACGTTTGTTGAATTTAAGTGTTGATTATATTTCATGTCATTAATCCAAATCTGCAAAGAAACTAACGGTATAAAACAAATGTAGTGGAGTAGAAGCGCACGATTTACCTATGAATTGTAGTGGAGTAAAAGCACGAAGTACCAAAAGATGTAAATACCCAAGTAGAGTAATAGTATCATGACATTTTACTTAAGAACAGTAGTTGACTAAATGTTCTTAGTTACTTTACACCACTGTATAAATGTAGTCTATTTACATTTGATAATGTGTAATTTGGAGAGCGGCTGGTGTTTTGGTATCAGGAAACAGAGACAGAGTGAGAGCTCTTCACGCACCTCTGGAGCCATGCAGGCACGCGGCCAGCTTCGCTTCTCTGCGCAGCATTGGTTGTTGTCGCTCCTAGTTATCCGGAGAAAGTTCGACTAACAGTCATTTCCTTTTATTTCGCTGTGATATTAAAGAAGTATGGCGGAGTCTCAAGAGGACAAGCTGTACCAGGCGGTATATGCCAAAAGCAGCCGTGCATCGTGCAAGAAATGCAAAGAAAACATAGCGAAAGACTCGCTGAGAATGGCCATCATGGTGCAGGTAACGACGTCTGCAGACAGTAATCTGGAGAAACTGCTAGCTAGCCTAGCACCAGAGTGTTAGCTTTGGTAATTTAGGTGGTTTATTCGGCGAATATAGTGGATATTTATAAACTGGTGAGAGAATGAACATATGTATTGTATAGTTTGGTTTCAGTTGTGTTAGGTTAGGCCCTCGTTAGCATTTAAATGGCTGACATTGTTTGTTGAATCTTGTTCACAAAGAGCCGCTGAGCCTTTCCTAGGGGACCCTCAGTCTCTCAGTGCGCATCCTGCTATGCATTAAGGTTTTGTCATTAATACATTTTAATGCATCCTGAGGTTATGCTTAAATGCTACACTTACACAACCGAGTGAGAATCTGCTTCTGGAACAAAAATAGCAGCAGCAGCACTACCTCAATGTAAAGTCAGGCTGCTGCCCCACAGAGAGAATTAATTCACTTAAAGGCTCAGAAACCTTCTTCGTGGAGCAGCTCAAGATTCTCAATCTCACAGTGACTTTTCTTTCTTGAAGCTAGTCAACTAAGCAGTGGTCATTTCATTAAAAAACAAACAGACAAATTCGTTTTTTTTCTTGTGCCATGCTCATAAATGTGCCCTGCCCACTTGGACTTATATGGCATTGATTTGGTGAAACATTTGTCATACAATTACATAACTTATTGCACATCTCATCATTGTATTGAACAACATATGTTGTATCCTCATTTGAACACCAAATTTAAAAAAAGCATGTTATTCAGCAAAAGACACCGCCCAGTCTTCATGGAGAGACCTTTTTTTATTTAGTCAATAAATAGTTTCTCTACACTATAGTTTCTTTTTGAGAGACAAAACCTCACTTATTATGGACCATCATTTGTTATACATAAGGAAACATTTGAAAATGAAAGAATATTCTCTCGTAAGCCTCAGTTAGGAGTCATTCACTGGTCCGATTCACATTTCTGTCATGTTCGGAGGCTCCCATCCCATATCACCATGGGTCTCAGTGTAAACATACTCTGTTTTTTCCCCCACAGTCACCCATGTTTGATGGGAAAGTTCCCCACTGGCACCACTTCTCTTGCTTCTGGTCGAGAGCTGCAGCTCAGTCCACGGCTGATATAGCGGGCTACTCTGACCTGCGCTGGGACGACCAGGAGAAAGTAAAGAAGGCCATTGAGAGTGGAGGAGCAGTAGGAGGTAGGAATGCCAGAAACTGACCATGATCAAATTTGAAAATCGGACAGCCCTGGCGAATATGAATCGATTATTTGGCCTCTGCATTTAACCCATCCTAGTACCAGGAGGGTAGTACTAGGAGCAGTGGGCAGTTGAACCACTCTTTAGTGGAGCAGCTGACTTTTCACAGTCTGTCCAACAGGTGTGCACAACAATATAGGGTAGCTTACCCACAGTCAGCAGTGGCTTCATTCTCGTATACTGTTAAAACTTATTTTTATCAGTAAAAAAAACGAAACACACAGGCTATTAGAAATAATTGAGATCGCTCTGTGTACTGTAGTATCTTACAGAGGAGGTTCTACTGGAGATCATACCTATTGTTTTATAAAGTATCTAACTTTTACATCGCCTAGTCATGAGTTCAAATAAACATTGTTGTATATTTATATTCATATTTATATTTTGAATATCAAGTAGACCAGTAACATATAGATTACATTACTCTGTGTAAAGTGCACATATTTTCTATATAGTTTGTCTATTTTATTTATATGTATAGTAATTCTTTATATTTTAAACGCACACTTTATCTTTAATTTTATCAGCACCACGTCACTTTAAGGTATTTATTTATATGTACAATTTTAGCAAGTTTTTATATTGTCCTGTTGTTCCTGTAAGCCAGTACAACGAAATGTTCGTTTTAATAGTACACTCTGTCTTGTTGAAATGACAATAAAGTATGTCTAAGTCTAATATTTATATTCAGATATCTTGCATACATAAATATATACATTTTGAATGACGTGATTACACTTGGTTTGCTTGAATATTAAAATTGACTGACTTATTTTTTCGTGGGAAAAGGAGACCAGAAGGGTGGAGCCACAGGAGAGAAGACACTCAATGACTTTGCAGTAGAATATGCCAAATCAAACCGCAGCAAATGCAAAGGCTGTGATCTGAAAATAGAAAAGGTTAGCAGACATTTTTCTACCAATGCATTCATTTGTACATATATATTACATAAGATATGTTTTATCATAGGGAATCGTTTCTGAGTCTGTGGCTGTGTCCTTTAGGATCAGATCCGTGTCTCCAAGAAAACTGTGGACCCAGAGAAGCCCCAGCTGGGTCTGATCGACCGCTGGTACCACACTGCGTGTTTCGTGAGCAGCAGGGAGGAGTTGGCCTTCAAACCTGAATACAGCGCCGCTCAGCTCAAAGGTTTCAACGCACTGAGGGCAGAAGATAAGGAGGAACTTAAGAAGAGGCTTCCTGCTGTAAAAACTGAAGGGTGAGACAAAGAAAAATAGATACTATTTATTATCGTAGGTTTGGTACTTACAGTGTTCAGTGTCTCAGCTCTAGTGTGTGTTTCGGACAGTCGCTCCTTCTCTATCGACACCGCTGGCTGCATTCGAAGCATCTCTCTCTCCCGCCGCCCTACAGCACATGAAAATGTCCCTAAAGGTGTCTCTGAATGCTGTCATGGTGTATGCATAAAGGAAGGGGTTGATGGCAGAGTTGGCATGTGACAGGAGGATGGCAGTGAGCAGCAGCTCGAGCGGCACGGGGCAGTGTGGGCACAGCAGCAGGAAGCAGTCGATGATTTGTAGCGGTATCCAGCAGACTGTGAACAAGAAAAGAACCAGGAAGAGTGTGGTGGCAGTCTTCATCTCTCTCCGCATGCTGGCTGTCGCCTGCCCTCCACCATTCTGCTTACACACGACGCGCCTCAATTGGCGCTTGACCGTCAAAAAGATCTTGGCATAGATGAGAAACATGATCACCAAGGGTGTCAGCACAAAGGCAAAGAAGCAGAAATAAACCATGTAGGTCATGTCTACCACCGCAGTGAAGAAACAGTGGCCTGACTCCGGCGGCGTCTTGTGCCAGCCCATCATGGGAACCAGCCCGATGAGGAAGGCCAGCAGCCACGTGGAGAGGATCACTAACACGGCGTTGCGAGGCGTCATCAGGGCGCTGTAGCGGAACGGCATGAAGATAGCCACGTAGCGCTCCGACGCCACCGCCAGCAGGCTGAAGATGGAGCTTTGCGTGAACATGATCAAAACACTCAACATGAGCAGACACAGAGGAAAGTTGTGACGTGGTAAACCGATATCAGTCAGGACGGCACAGGGTATGGCGATCACCCCCACACAGATGTCAGCGACCGCCAGCGACACCAGGAAGTAGTTGGTGAGGGTGCGTAACTTGCGGTTGAGGCCCACGGCAACGCAGACCAGCAAATTGCCGACCGCCGAGAGAAAGGCGATGACTATCTCTGCCACCATGTACGCAATGTTAGGGGAGATCAGCAGGTCAGCAGGCGGGGGGGGAGGAAGGGAGGAGCCCGTATTGGAAAAGGAAGGAGCTGAGGAGTTTTGGAAAGGCTGCAGGAAGTCAGAAAGATTGGATGCTTTTCTAGTTTGGAGGAACGTGTAGAGGTTCAACAGTGCAGTGGTGTTCTCCATGGTGGCCCCTAAATTCGAAAAGAAAGAAGATTTAATCAGAAGTCGAGCTTCACTCCTCACTGGCTGTGACAAAGCAGTAAAATAACTTACCTATATAAAACTCAACCGACGTTCATCCCGATACCGTACTATCCTCACATTGGAATGGAAATTCTGTCCTCTGTTTGAGCAAATCTGAACGATGCCACTTTATATAATTCCCTTCTTCGCTCTTGACATCAGTACTTGTTTATATAAGTGATGTTTTTTTTGTTTTTTTACACCTCAAGGATAAGTCTGAGCCACTAGTTGGTCATTAGGTGATGCCTGTTGGCTGGTGTGTGTCCGCTCTCATGGGTTGTCTAATGAATATTTCCTGTCAGGGCAGCGGTGATGATATCAGCATTGACACCTAGGACTGTTGAGACATGTTCCTGCCTGTGTGTGAGAGTCCATTAACTGATGGAGCCCTAATGAATGTGCCTAATGAATAAAGGTGTCAGACGAAGGTTTGTTTGTTCCAGTGTCCCTTGTTGACTAATTTGGGACGTTAATTTGGATGTTTTTCAAATCCAAAACAACAAAAGAAAGTATGAAAGAAATAAACCATTTCAGCAACTTTTCTTTGCTCTTACAGTAAGCGTAAAGGCGATGAAATGGATGGAGCAACAAAGAAACAGAAGAAGGAAGAGGACGATGAGAAAAAGAAGCTCGAGGAGCAGTTAAAGGTACATTTTTTTTCTCCATTTTATTCCTTAATGAAACTCATTATATTTGGGGACCATGTTTTTGATACGCTTTTATGTTTATATTTGGTGTCTTCTGTAGAACCAAAGCCAGCTGATTTGGGGAATCAAGGACAAGCTGAGGAAGTTCTGCTCCACCAACGATATGAAGGAGCTGCTGATTGCAAACAGCCAGGAGGTTCCCTCAGGAGAATCTAATGTAAGAAAACCTTCTCTTGTTTACTTCATTGAAAGATTAAAGGCGATTGAAGGTTGGGATGCATACCGGTATTACCGAAATACCGGTTACTGGTGGCTACGGTATACCGTACCGAAATTAGATCCAGTTTTGAGACTTTAAAAAATAAATAAAAATATTTATTTTTATTTTTAATTTACCGTAATTTTCGGCCGCGCCTTTTTTCCAATTTTTCGACCCTGCGGCTTACATACCGTAACGTGTTGTTTGTTTAGAGTAGAAATTTAGTCGTCACAACGAGCAGCTGACCACTCTGCGTTTTGTGTAGGGTCTAGTGCAAGAAACCCTGAAGAAAGATCATACTATGTTTCGTTTTATGTATTTATACTTCTTTTTGCTAATACGTTGAGATTAAATATTGGGTCGGTAGTGCCCGTTCCTGAGGAAAATTTAATGGCGATTAAAGAAGGCCTGATTATTCTTCGTGACTTATATTCGCGTCGTCGAGTTAACTACTATCACTGTATGATATTGGGCGTGACCTGAATTCGGGCGTCCACAAAATTCACAAATTAATCGTATACTCCCAAGCACGTGTCTCCCCTAACACCCTTTCTCTACCGACAAACTCCTTCGAGGGTAAATAATGTAATTGTTGTTCAACGTATAAACGTATTGCATAGTTCACAATGGTAAATCACGTTATCAGATGCTTGGACATGACACATTTGCATGACATAGTGTATCGCAAGTCTGTGTGTCTGAAAAGTTGAAAGTTTAGGGTCGCGTGTCAATTTTGACCGTCACTAGTGTCGGTCACCAAAAGGTTGGTAACCATGCCCTGTATTCGACAGAGCGAGAGGCATTCCAGACTAGACAGAACGAGAGGGCTAGGACGGAGGAGCGGGAGAGCGCAAGTGAAATGCGCGAGCGGACAGAGTGAGAGAAAGGCCGAGTCGAGAAAGGAGAGCGACCTGCGGGCAAGGCGCATTATCACCCCGCGCGGCCATCGTCGGGAGTGGCGATTGCGCGCGGCAGGCTGCGAGGGACATTGTTGAGTATCTAAATCGGCTTCCAGGGGATCCGGGCGAGATCGACATTTTAGGATCTAATT